TGATAACTTGAAACTATATAAAATGTGAAGCACTAAGTCTAGGAAAACTTCATTGTAACAATGTGACCAATATTCAAACCTTTATTTCATACAACTTTACTACTTCTCTAGATTATACTGGCCTCATAAAACAAATTGAGAAGTGTTCTCTATTTTCTAAAAGAGTCTGTGTAAGATTGGTGTTATTTCATCCTTAAATGTTTGATATTCACTTGTGAAGCCATCAGGGCCTACGTTTGCTTTGTAGGAAGGTGTTTTTTTTTGTTTGTTTGTTTGTTTGGTTTTTTTTGCGGCCGGGGGGGCTGTTTTTTATTGTTATAAAATATGTTTTTTTTTTGTTTTTTGTTTTGTTTTGTTTTTTTTGCGGCGGGGGGGGCTGTTTTTTATTGTTATAAAATATACATAAAATTTACTATTTTAATTCTTTTTAAAGTGTGCAGTTTAGTGTCTTTAAGTATATTCACATTGTTATGAAAACATCACAACCATCTATCTCCAGAATTTTTTCATCATCCCCAACTGAAGCTGTATAACAATTAAACACTTAACTCCCTACTCTCCTCTCCCCACTAGCCCTTGGCAAACACCATCTACTTTCTGTCTATGCATTTTTGACCTCTCTAGGAACTTCATATAAGAAGGATGATGCACATTTGTCCTTTTGTGATTAGCTTATTTCACTTAGCGTAATAGCTTTAAGGCTTACACATGTCGTAGCATGTTTCAAAATTCCTTGCTTTTTAAAGGCTGAATAGCATCCATTTTATGTATATATCATCTTTTATTTATCTGTTCATCTTTTAATGGTCACTTGGATTGTTTCTACCTTTTGTCTGTGTGAATAATGCTGCTGGAAACATGGTGTACAAATATCTTTTCTAGTCTCTGCTTTCACTTCTTATCTAGAAATAGAATTACTGGATCATATGGCAATTCCATGTTAACTATTTTGAGGAATTCTCATACTGTTTTCATAGCAGCTGCATCATTCTCCCACCAACAGTGCACAAAGGTTCCAATTTCTCCACCTCAACACTTGTTATTTTTTGTTTTGTTTTTGTATTGTATTTTCTAATAGCCATTCTAATGGGTGTGATGTTTATTTTACTTATAAATTTAATTTATACAATAAATTTAGGCTATTTAGATTTTTCTTGTGCTGTTTTGTTATTATTGGTAAATTATGTTTTTAAAGGTATTTATCCATCTAATAAATGGAATAAAATTGTTCATAATATTTCCTTGTTCACTTTTCAACATCTATAGGATCTGTGATGATTTCTCTTTTATTCCTGTCATTAAAAATTTGTGCTTTCTGAAACACAAATGTTTGAGATCAATTTTGCCAGAAGTTTATTGGTTTTATTAATCTTTTTAAAGAACCAATTTTTGACTTTAATTTTCCCTATTTGGTCCATTTTCTATTTCATTAATTTGTTTTTATTTTTATTTCCGTCTTTCTACTTACTTTACATATAATTTACTATTTTTATAGCTTCTTAAGACTGAATTCTTCCTTTCTAATAGAAGAATTTAAAACTATAAATCTTCCTTTACACGTTGCTGTAGCTACATCCCATAAATTTTGACATTTTATGATTTTATTATTATTCAATTTAACGTATTTTCTTATGTTCCTTAACATTTACCAGCTCATGTAAAACTTGACCCATAGATTGTTCAGAAGTGTGTTGCTTAATTTTTAAATATTTGGGGATTTTTCTAGATATATGTTATTATTATTTTGTTTGGATAAAAAAAGCAAAAATCAGCAATACACTCCTATAAGAGAAGCAATTTAAATGTAAACACACAAATACATTTTTAAAAAACATATACTGTACACAATAATACATAAGATAGTTGGTGAGGTTATATTAATATTAGACAAAATTACTTCAAGAAAATGATATTAACATTTAATATTATGTTCAGAAGTCATACTCTGTATGATTTTAATACTTTGGAATTCATTGAGACTTATTTTATAACTTAGCATATATGGTCTACCTTGGTAAATATTAGATGTTCACTTGAAAAGAATGTGTTTTCTGCTATTATTAGGTATAGTGTTCTTTCTATAAGTGTCATTTAGGTAAAGTTAATAATGTTAAAATCTTTTATATCCTTATTGATTTTTTTTGACAGTTTCTGAGTGTGTTCTATTTATTGTTGAGAGAATGGTATTAAAAAATCTCCAAATATTACTGAGGATATGTTAATTTCTTCTCTTAAGAAGTTGTGTCCATTTTTGCTTCATGTATTTTAAAGCCCTGTTATTAGGTACATGCACATTTAGGATTGGGAAGTCTTGAGGAATTGGCCGATCATTACTAAATGTCCTATTTTATCTCTGTAATAGTCTTTTTTAAAAGTCTACTTTGTCTATTGATATAGCTCTTCCACTTTTTTTATGCAGTGTTTGCATGCTATCTCTTTTTAAAATTTTAATCTATTGGTATCTTTATATTTAAAGTACTTCTCTTATAGACAGTATATGGCTGTGTCTTGCTTCTTTTCATGCACATTGACAATCTACGTCTTTTAATTGGAATCCATTTACATTGAATGTAATTATTGATATGGTTAGGTTTAAATATTCATTCGGTTTCTAATTGCCCCATCTGTTTTTATTTCCTCTGTTTTTCCTTCCCTGCGTTCTTTTGGGTGAATAGCTATACTTTTTGTGTTATTTCAAATAAAAATACTACTTACCCATACTGTTTTATTATGGAAATAATATCTTACTAAAACCTATATTCAAATTAGGTTATGCCAAAAGAGAATTAAGAGAGGGTACATAAAAAGAGTGGGACACTCTAGTAGCAGAAACCAACTTTTTCCACTGGCATTCTATTTGGGGTTGACCCTGCCCTTCTTCTCCCATCACAGAATGGAACCATAACCTGGTAAACATTAAGCTAACATGACAGTCATAACATGGAGCACATGTTTGTTGATCAGTGTAGTCACTATAACTGGATAGCTGCCTGTATACTGTCACACTCTTCTGTCACTTCCTTCTTCCACACTGTAAGGATCTTAGGAGCCACCCTGGAAAATATAAAGTAACTTCCTTTCTATTTATGTCAGACAGCTATCATTTTGTGTAATCAGGCAGTTAATTCACTACCAGCTTGGTGCTGCCCTTAGAAGCTTACGATTTTGTTGAGAAGGCATTTATGTAATTATATTATGTATTTATCTCTATTATATTTATTATATAAATTTAATAAAAGATAAAGAGCCATGCAAGGCTGTGTGTGACTGTTATAGATAATAAATAAATAGATAAAGATGCTTATGTGGTTAATTAGAAAAACAGCTTCCTAAGCAAGACAAACTGCCACATGTTTAGGCCCTGGCCACACTACACTTTATGGGCTAGCAGCCTACAAGCCACATGCTTCTCTGACATTTCCGTGAATTGCCTAATATCTAGTCTGGTTATGACTTTTTGTTTCCAACTGTCTATACAGGTTCTGGGTCATTTATAGTGAGAGAAACTCAGGTTTTTTCTCTCTTCCTCTTCTATATAAAGATATAGATAAGTATCACATGATTATTTGAAATATTGAAATTTCATTTTGATTTGGTTTTCCTGGGTGGAATACGTTTACATCGTTTTATACTTTTGAACATGAATTGCCTTCTTTCTAAGTGTAATCAGTTTCTACTTTTCAGCATACAGAAGATTTTATGAGTAGTACTCAGTACAGGAAGAGAATTCTAAAAATAATTGTGCAAGCAGGGTTTTGTTAGCCTTACGTGGCACACTAGCAGAAGAAAAGAACAAAGGCACATCAGAGGAAAGGTAGTGGTGGGCGGAGCATTTCATTTCATTTGCCTCCACCAAAGAGCTTGCATTTAGTCGAGAAGGAAAAACAAACAAGAAACAGGAGATCAGCACTAGCTATTGAATGTTTCATTTCTCATCACTGTTAGTCACATTCGAATGGAACCATTACAGTCTTTTTGGTGTATATAACTAAGCCTTTTTTTTTTTTTTTAATCCAAAAGGAGAATCTTAAATTTTAAGTTTAAAAACACAATGAGATGTTTTTGACATTTGCAGTGCATTTTGGAATTCATACTCTTAAAACCCATTGACTTTCAATAAGGTGATAAAGGGTGCAATACATGTCATTTTTATGCCTAATAGCACCTTGGATAGTCTCTAATGTGTATTATGTACATACACCTTATAGCATCTGTTTCCACCTGACAGCGTGCAGCATTAGGTTGAATGTTGCAATGATCAACTGAACAGGATGAAATGCCGAGCAGTATTGCAATAGATTCTTGTTGGGAAAAGCTCTTTAGAGCTTCTTTTTGATACTTTTCCATAAACATTTTAAACTGATATATTCACCAATACATAATTAAAATGAAATACTATTTAAATGTTTAAGTTATTCTTCCAGAAATGAGGATAGGTTTGGCATATCAACTGATGATTCTCCTTTTGAGCTAGGATTAAAGCATGTGTTTTGTATAGGAAATCTATTTTGCAAATGTATTACTCACTATTCCAGAAAATGAGATTTACTAGGTTTGTTTTCTTATTCTGCTGCTATACTTGGGTTTTTGGTCTGGGGGTCACAAAATATTCCCTAGAAATATGTTTGCCTAGAATTCTCAAAACAAAATAATAAAATCACTTAAGAAAACTTTTAGTACACAAAATCCAAATTCTGGACATAATATGCTTTGGCCGAGTGCTAAAAGTTAAACAAGCAAATACCAAACAAAGCAAAGTTAGTCAAGGCTGTGACTTACAAAGAATGCCAGCCAATGTCACACACTCTAAATATTCTTTTCCCTCCTCCTGTCTTGAAAATACTTCAGGAGAGAAGCTATCATGCCTATATTTCACTTAAAAATCTTTAGTTTTCATATCCTTTCTCAGGTGGTAAACTTTTTGGACCAGTTTTTAGTTATTAGATAAACAATACACTATTTAATCCCTGTTGACTAATTAATTATTTATAATTTTCCAGGTACTGATTAAGATGAATGGGATTTGGAAAAATTCTATGTCCTGTCTAAGAATTGGAAAGATGCCACAAAGATGCCAAAGTGGTTGTCACCCCATGGCCCCTCTGGGATCAAGAATTTTAACTGACCCAGCCAAAGTTTTTGAGCACAACATGTGGTGAGTTAACTTCTTAGGTCTAATGTTATGTATATATTAAACTTCACCAGTGGTATTATTTATATTTCATGCCAAGAAAGGATTTTTAAAGCTGATCATTTATATTGTTGAGGCTAATGATCCTAACTTAAGAGTTGCTGATTCTGAATTTCTTTGCCAATGGAATTGGAAAAGTAAAACTTCCCATGTGCTTTCATCAACTTTGGGGTTCTTGCAGGCTCTCCCTGCTGACCTCTGATCCGGATTTGCCAGCATATTGCCAGTGGTGGGTCGGAGGGGGTGGTTCTTTTCTATGTAGACTCTTCCTTCTGCCCTATCGGCCCTTTCTCTTTTACAAGTACTTGTCAATCAGCAAATTCGTATTCAGTACTTATTGCTCAGTGAACATCAGGGAGAACACATTGGTAAGACCTAGTCCATACTTTCAGGAAATCTACCCTCTATTTGGGAAGATAGATGAATATTTGTAGGAAATTTTGAGAATTAGTAATATAAGGCAGCAAACTGTAAGGGTCCAGTATGTTCTTATAAGTCATGTAGGCTATATGCCTTATATGAACAACTCAATAATGCAAAACCACTTCTGTTTGGTCATAGGAAGATTTCTTTCATTTTTTTGTTTTTTGTTTTTAATTTCAACTCTATTGAGGCATAATTGACATCTAAAAAAAGATTTATTTAAGTGGGGAAACTGAGACCAGACTAGGATTTTTTATTCTGTCTTCAGTACCTAGTACAGTGCCTGACACAAATATTTGTAGAATAATGATTTGGCTAGGTAAAGCTGGACTAAGGGCATTCTAGGTGGTTAGAAAGTCACAAAACACAGAGATAGAAAGTATAAGGCATATTTAGGAGACAGTGATTAGGATAGTTTGCCTAAAATAAAGCCTCTTCCAGGAGGTTGGTGAACAAGGTTGGAATGATATAGGTCAGGTGGGGTGAGAGCATGACTGTGCGGGGACCTGAATTCACAGCTGAAATGTAAGGCATTATAGAGCCACTGAAGAGAAATGACATTATACATAGTGTATTAAATATATATATTTGATAACACTATACTGGATAAATCAGCAGGTAGAACTAGAAGCAGGAAAGGGCTAGTGAGAGAGAGCTTTCAAAGGAAGAATATATAGAACTTGGTGCTTTTGTAGAATAAAGGAAAAAGAAGCATTTGACTCTGAAGTTTTGATCCTAGATGACTGATAGAAATAGGAAAATCAAGAAGTAAATTGATTTTTTATTTTGGAAGAAAGACAGTGAATTTAGTTTTAGATATTTTGAATAGGCCTTTGGGAGCTGAACATTCTGGTAAAAATGTCCAAAACACAGACTCTGCTGCTGAGAAGAGGGAAGAGGGAGAGAGGTCAGGGCTGAAGATGTGAAGTTGGGCATGGTATCTGCAGACTAAACTATTTTCTGACTTCTTCGGGAGCAAGGTCTCTAAGGCTGGGAATGTGACTCATGGGCTTTTTATGTTTTATTGCAACAGATTATCAATTTTCAAAGGAAATAGATTGACCTTTTATTACCTAGTCCTGCACTATGCAATGCGGTAGCCACTAGCCACGTGGTTATCGAACTCTTAATACCTAGTTTGAACCATTTCGAAGACTTAATACAAAAAAGATAAAATATATTATTTAATAATTTTATATTGAATTACATGTTAAAATATTATTTGGAGTATATCGAAATTAAATAAGATGTATTGTTAAAATTAATTTCACTGGTTTTCACTTTTCTTTTTTTTACCATGGCTACTAGAAAATTTTAAATTACATTCATGACTCACATAATACTTTTTTGGACAGTTGCTGAATTAAACCATTTTGACTACCATCACCAATATAGACACAGTAGGCTGTGAGATCACAGGCAATTAAACCTCTAGAGGAACTTCTGGTCCTACGCAATCTTTTCATTTACCAATTTTCTTTCTTCATTAGACTCCAGTGATTTAGCTATCTGTGTTCTCTTTTTCCATCTGCTACCACCAGCTCTTTTGCCCAAGTTTTCTGCCTACCCATCTAAGTTCAGTTTTATCATAGGCTCTCTGGGAAACAAGGGTCATCTGGTTGAGTGCTTCTCAAACACTGTGGGCTAGCTGTGGGCTGCTGCACAAGAATCCCTTGGGGAGTTATTATTTCACTAGATCTAGAGGTATGGCTCAGGAATTTGTAATTCGAAAAAGCTCTTTTAGAAATTCTGTTGAGCAGCCAGGTTTAGGAATACTTGATGCAGTCTAGTGGGTTTCAGCAGAATTTTTTTCCCCAAGAATTTTTTTCCCCAAGTGAAGTTTTAACATAGAATCCCAATATTTAAAAGGTAAAAACAAACCTGCTCTGAATGACATGGGAATAGTGGCCTAGGGCATCAACAACTCTATCTCCCTTTTCCTCTCCTACTCCTCATCCCTCACTCTAGGTGCTTTCATGACCTTGGGTTCTGTTGATCAAAGTTTGAAAAACTGTGATCTAGCTCCTCCATAGCATACTCCCCAAGAGGTTATCTAGCCTGTGCCAGGATGCCTTTAGTGAACTCTCTCCAAAGGCGCAGCAGACACGTTGTAACAATGAAAATAATTACCTCCAAGGGAAGAGGAAAGTAGTCGCTTCACGTCAACTGGAAACCAGAGGACTGGTTTACTGCTTTACTTTCCCCTTGCTTCAAGTCCAGAGTTCTGTCTAAAAATTTTCACTTCCTTCCTTATTCTCTCCTTAATATTTAAGTATAGTAATGTTTCCTCTCTTGTTGAATTTATATTTTTTAAAGATGCTTCTGGAAAAGTACGTGCCAATTTTCTCTCAGTTCATTTTTCCCTGTAGTCTCTAGTTTAGATAGTAAGGACTATTTATTTATTCTATATGACCCTCCTTTAAAATTTACTTTGAGAAAAATTAAAGATACCCCTTTTTATTCAGTTTCTAATATCCTGAGAAAGATTTACCCTCCAGATATTGGTATTACTGGTGTTAACATCTGCCTATAGGCTTTTATTTTTTAATAATTTAGTGAAATAAGTCTCACATAACATAAAATTAGTCATTTTAAAATAAACAATTCAGTGGCATCAGTTACATTCGCAGTTCTGTGCAACCAGCACCTTTATCTAGCTCCAAAACATTTCCATCACTCCAAAGTAAAATCCCTCACTCATTGCGTAGTTTATCCTCACCCTGCAGTTCTCCAGCCCCTGGCAATCACCAATCTGTGTTCTGTCTCTATGGATTTACCTCTTCTGGATATATCATAAAAATGGGCTCATATGATATGTGACCTTTTGAGTCTGACTTCTTTCATTTAGCATAATGTCTTAGAGCTTTGTCCACATTGCAGCATGTATCAGCATTTAATTTCTTTCTGTGATTGAATAATGTTCCATTGTATGTGTATACCACAATTGGTTTATCCATTTGTTCACCAATGGACATTTGGACTCTTTCCACCTTTTGGCTTTGGTGAATAGAGCTGCTATGACATGCATGTACATACACTTGTTTGAGTCCTTGTTTTAAATTCTTTGAGGTATATATCTAGGAATGAAATTGTGGGGTCACATGGTAATTCTATGTTTAAATTTTTGAGGAACCACCAAACAGTTTTCCACAGTAACTGAACCATTTTTTATTCTGCTTATCGTCTTTTAATTATACTTAGTACATTTATCAATTTTGGGGGCACTGACATGAAACTATATTCAGAATGCTTTTGAGACATGGCCCAGAGATCTGTCTTTACTGAAGAACTTACTCAGTTACTTGGAAAAATCACTCCTCAGTCCATACCGTTCCAAGTTTCGGCGTGTAAGAACTTTTGGGGGATCCCTGAAATTTATAAGGAAGCAGTAAGCACTTGTATTATCATATGCCTAAGCCAGCTAGGCTAGTAGCTTTCAAGCTTTTTGGCATGATCCACAGTATGAAGTACAGTTTACATCGTGGACCTACATGTACATATAACATATGCAAATACATGAAACAGGAACAAAAGTTTCCTGTCCAGTTTTACCATGCAAGACATGCACAGATAGTTTCCATTTATTCTATTCTACTGTTTCTGTTTCTTTTTTTAAGTGTTGATTAGGCTAACTAAATGATTTCATGACTCACTAAAAGAGTTGTGACCTTCAGTTTAAAAAGCACTGAGCTAAGCCATTCTCTGTAGATCCTGTATATTGCAAAATGACTTTCTGTTAACATAACCCATTTAAATAATAGACAGTTTCCAGAATTTAAATAGAGTTCAGATATCAAGAATTCTTTCCTACTATATAGTATGAATTTTCTTTATATAATTGTATTTATCTCTGATTCCTCTTGCCCTGTTTCACGCACAGTTCTTTAATATAGGAAGCATTTTCTTTGTCCACCTCCATTATGACATTTGTCATGGGATACAGCCTAGTTAAGATGTTGAGAGCACAGACTGACTAGTTGTCTAACCTTGGGAAGTTATTTAATCTCTTTGTGCCTCAGTTTCCTCATCTCTAAAATGGAATGGTAATAATAATGTGTATCTCATATGGTGGTTGTGAGAATTAAATTAGTATATATAATATAAAATATATATGATAAAAATCAGCTATCTTATTACCATTTTCTAACAAGTACTTTGTTATTTATGTGTCTGTTTTGCCCTCATTATTCGGTTATGTGATTCTTCAGAGAAGAGTTTAGCTTATGTCTATTTCATAGCTAGCTTTCATATATATTTCTCATGTAATAGACACCTAGTAAGTATATTTGAATAAGAGAATCAATATAGAAAAATATTACGATTCAGTTCATGTCTACTAGAAGTTTACAACTAGACTGAGAGTTAATATAGTGGCTAAATATGGGCTTCAGAATAAAAAAAAAAAATTTGAATTTAAATCCTGACTCTAACCCCCTTTCCAGCTATGTGAACTTGAGCAAGTTCTTTCACAGGGTGTTGTGAGTATTAAAAGAAATAAATATGTAAAACTCTTAGTAGTAGTAAGTGCTCACTAAAATTCT